AGCTAACATACAATATTGTACTTGTTTTAGGAGTACGCCATAGTTATTAACATTTATATACCTAAAGAAATAATCAATATGATAAGTCCAGCAACCATCTGACACTGTACAATGCTATCACATTAGTACTGACCATATTCCTTATGCTGTACATCATATCCCCATGCTTTTATCTTCATTAATGCTCATTTGCTTTCCTTAGATTTGCTTTCTTTTACATAATTTTTCTTTTATTAACAGTAAAATTCTTTAAGGTTACAGATATTTCTGAGTATGGTTTTAGCAACATTCCATAAGTTTTGGTATATATTCTCATTTTTGTAATTTTCTAAATAGTCTGCCATTGACTTTTTATTTTGTTTCATTTTCTCTTTCATTCAGTTGTTAGCTAGGAGAGTAGGTTTCAAGTTCTACTTAGCAGGGTGTTTTTCGTTTAAAGTATTATTTACAGCTTTGTAACATTGTGATTGGGGAACATGGTCTGTTCTGTGTTTGGAGGTTATAGAAGTTTACTTTGAGACCTATTCTATAGTTAATTTTAATACATGTTTTATAGATTCTTAAGAAATTGTCAAAGTGGTGTGTTAAAATCTCATAACTTTCACTATTTGATTTTCTTTGTAATTATAATAGTTTTTTAATTAAATTTTTGATTCGTTAATTTATGCATAAAGTTTCATGACTTATATACCTTTGTTATATATTAGGACCTTTTTTGAGGGCCCTTGAATTCATCTTTGAGCTTAATATTACCACCAATTGTTTAATTGGGTATTCCCGATACTATTTATTTTTAACCTTTCTCTTTCATCTTGTTCTTGATGTGTCTCCTGTACATACTATATTATTTGAATTTTGTTTTGTCATCCAGTCTAAAAGTTTTTTGCATTTTAAATTAATAGTTTCTTTACTTTTTTTATAAAATAAATAGATATGGGGAGATTGTTAACATTAATCTGGTGCGGGACAAGAAGACTGGAAAATCCAAAGGATTCTGTTTTCTCTGCTATGAAGACCAGAGGAGCACAATTTTGGCTGTTGACAATTTTAATGGGATCAAGGTGAGCATGTTTACTAAGCAGAATTTGGCTGGACTCTTACTATGTAGAGGTTTGGTTTAATTTTCCACCTGATATCCACAGGCTCAAGGATAGTACTGGTCAGCTGGGCATGTTTTGAGAGTTGTAGAGGTGTGGGGACATACTGACCAGCAAATGATCTCAGGAAATAATTTAATTGGCTCATAACCCTACCATCTTATTCTTTTTCCCCATCTCTTAACAACTATTTCTTCAGGAGCATAGCTACCATGTTCCCCTATTCCCCACAGGCCTCTATTTCTCATCTTTTCTTCCTCACACTCCACTCTCATCTCTGGTGTATTGGAAAACAAAGACACTAGCAAACACTGCTTTTCCATGCTGTCCTATGTCAGGATTTGGAGCTCTGTCTTTGCTTCATGACCTAGGACATAGCTGTGTATGTCTGTCATATGTCTCCACTGACTTAACAATACTTGGTCCTGGAGATTCTCTAGTTAAAAGTTGATGACAGATTCTACAAAACTAACTCATTCTGAAGTTTTCTCTCCTCTGTTCCCTCTTGTGTCCACCCTCGTAAGTGAGACATTGGGCTGAGAAGAGGGAATGGGGCAAGTCAGGCTTATCTATGCTCCACGTGGTCCCTGCACTCATTTAGGAAAAGCACTGCAGTTGAATGAGCATTGTCACAGGTTGGGGGTGGGGTGACTCTTGACTTGGAAAGTTTGTCACTGATCGTATCAGTATGGAACAGTTGGAGATTATAGGACAGAGTGGAACAAGGTTCTAGGCTTGATTTTTAAGAGAACCAACAGTCAAATGGAGTTACCATAAAAAGAAAGTTTTCAAAGATGTTTTGAAATGGGGAATGATGACAGAAGCTGCTTAGGCTTAAAGGTAAGAATAAAAATCTACTCTTGTGTTAGAACTATAAAAGCCACACTTCAGATTTCAGATGGTTTTGCTTATAGAATAAGTCTGTATTTGCCTGAAAAATTTTTTTTTTGTTTTAAGTAAGGGGTTAATTGTTGTTGCTCACTTGGAGAGTTGACTCCCAGTGAAAGTATCAGTATGAGCCAGTCGTTCCCGTAGGGTGTTGGTGAAACATGGTGTGAGGGCTTAAGAAAAAAAGATAGTGGTCTTTTCCTAACTGTACAAAATAACCAGGTGATTGAATATAGCTAGGAAAAAATCAAAGAACAAAACAAAACAAGAGAGTTGTTTCTAGATTCTTTCCCCCATTTCAAGTTTTGGTCTGCCTTGACCTCATCCTAATTGCTGTGTCAAGGAAGCAGTTGTAGCACTGAGCTCAATTTCAGGAATTCCTTCTAGCTGCCAGGCTTTCCCACGGTATATTTCACTGTAAATTAATTTTACATATTGAGGGTAACTCACTGTTGTGCATCTAAATCATCACAGTTTTTTCTGCTGCTTGTCAGCAGAACTTCCCAGCGTTTTTTACTCTGTGGCACATGTAGAACATGAAGATATTTGTATGGCACACTGGTATACACTGAGGAGGCTGCCTGGTACAACTTCCCCAGGAGCTCCAGCTGCCCCAGGCCTCACCTGGTTGCCTCCAGGGCTGAGTGAATTAATATGTAGTTATATGTGCTGTGACACACCAGTTGGGCAGGTCTGTTTTAGAGATTTTCCTAGAAATAGATTTAGCAGGAGGGTAATAGATGGAGTTCAAACCATGGCTCTCTGCAGCTGGGTTCAAATAATTTGATGGGAAGGCTGTCTTTGCTGAAGCATTGCCTATCTGTCTTAGATCAAAGGAAGAACTATTCGAGTGGATCACGTATCAAATTATCGGGCTCCTAAGGATTCAGAAGAAATGGATGATGTGACCAGAGAGCTCCAGGATGAGGGCTGTGGGGCTCATACTACCTTACCAAATTCATCTGAGGGCTCTGAAGATGACAAACCCACCAAAAAACACAAAAAAGGTATAAAGCATTAAGACCCAAGAGAAGATTCTGGGTAATGTTAGTGTTTGATCTTCCTTGCATTCACTGAGTTGATAATCAGTTCTTAAGTGTGGAGGGGGTGAGGAGTGGGGAACCTCACTTTAAATGGGGAAGGGGAGGTATCAGTGGAAAGGCTAAAAAAAAGAAAGGCTAATATGAGTTGAATTGTGTCCCCCAAAATTCATATGTTAAAGCTTTAACTTTCAGTACCTCAGAAAGTGACTGTATTTGGATGTAGGGTCTTTAAAGAGGTAATTAAGGGTGAAAATTGCCTTATACAGCAACTTGACATGTCAAGGGTCACAGATCCAACTTGGCTTCTCAGAGGTACTTTTCTGAAAGTATATAGACTGATTGCTTGACATTGCTGCCAAGGATGCTTTCCTTTTGCATATCCTCCATCTTTCTTTTCTTATTGATTGCACCACTTTTCTCCTCCAGACAAAAAGGAAAGAAAGAAAAGAAAGAAAGACAAAGAGAAGACTGACCGGGAGGTACAGGCAGAACAGCCAGCCTCCTTTTCATTTCCCAGAAGCAAGATGATAAAGGAAAAGGATGACTCTGGCTCTAAAAAGCACAGCAGCAAGAACTCAGAGAGGCATCAGAAGCCAGAGTCCAGGGAGGTGCAGAAGCACCAGCCCAGCTCCCCTGAGAACAGGACGACCTGCCTTAGACATTCAGAGGACCGAGAGAGGGAGCCGAAGGAGAAGCCCAAGCATGAGCACAAGTCCTCAAGCAGGAAGGAAGAAAGAGAAGAAAAGAACAGAGATAGAGACAGAGGTCGAAACTCAAACACACATTCTGGCTGGCATGAGGGGCGTTCTGAGGGGCGTAGCCATAGAAGTAGAAGTAGGAGCCGAGATAAATCTCATAGGCATAGAAGGGCCCGGCACTCCCGTGACCAGGAGCCCTCAAATCTCAGTGACCACAGGCATCACTGAAGCCGGAGCCGGGCAGCTGCTCAGTAGAATGGGAAATGAACTACGTTTTTAAAATGCAGTCAAATTCAGCTATGCTTTTATTATTTCTGTATGTAAAATCTTTTGAGGCTGAATTCTTTAATCTCTTGAGTATTAGTCACTGAGGGAGCTGTAGTTTAACAACCAATGTCCTGGAGTTTTAAGCGAAATCCATTGTTCCTAGGTATCGGCTTGGTATTTATCAGAGTGTGTCTCTTAAAATTGGGTTTATAAATATAGCCCTTCACTTTATGACCCAAATTTATAATGAAATGGCCAGGAAAAGGGAAATACCAGGTAATTCTAGAACTTTAGTCTTTGCGTTAGATGTTTAGAACCCTTGCAGCGACTTTTCCAGTTGACAGGTAGACCCATAGAGTAAAGAAATGTGGCTTAACTAGGTTTGGACAGCTTGATGTGAATGTGATAATGATTGATAACATCAGCCTGCTCCCTCCCCACCCCTTCCTGTTTTTGAAAATTTAAACGTCTTTTACTTTTTTGCTTTTTTTTTTTTTTTGGTTCATATGTGTTTTTTTCCCCTCACAATTTATTTATTTATTTATTTTTATTGAGGTGAAATTCACATAACATAAAGTTAACCCCTTTAAAGGGAACAACTCAGTTGTACATTCACAGTGTTGTAAAACCACTACCTATTTAGTTCCAAAACATTTTCATCACCCCAAAATGAACCCTGTACCCATTAAGTGGTTACTTCCCAGTCCCTCCTCCTCATCACTGGCAACCACCAATCTGCTTTCCATTTCTATAGATTTTGCCTATTCTGGACATTTCATATAAGTGGAATCATACAATATGTGGCCTTTTATATTCACTGTCTTTCACTTAGTATGTTTTTGCATTCATCCATGTCATAGCATATATCACTCCTTCATTCCTTTGTATAGATGAATAATATCCCATTGTTTGGATACACCACATTTAGTTTATCCATTCCTCAGTGGATGGACATTTGGATTGGCTAGCCAGCTCCCTTTCCATGTTCCAGACGTACCAGGCTACTTCTGAGTTTAGTCTGCTTTTCGAGTAGCTGCTTTTGCTGAGATGGGAACACTTTGTCCACTCCATTGTATATATATCTGGTCTGCTTGGCAGTTCTTTCCCATTTTGAGAGTGTTAGTTTTCTGTTATAGCATCAGTCACTTATGAGTTTGGTAGGAACTAGTTCACAGGACCTCAATACCCCTGCTGAATTATTAAAATTGAATTTCTGACTTTGCAAAAACATTGGACTAGAGCTTTAATAGTAAGTGCACTAAGTTAGGTTATGTAGTCTGTTAGTTTGGGTCCTAGATTAGTAGTGCGAGAGATTTTTTTGGGGGGGAAATGCCCAAGTGGGAAAATGGGAAGGAAGCTGGAGGAGTCTGGAAAAGCTTCCAGATTCATGTAGACTTGACCTCTGGAGAAGAGATGAAAGGAACGAAAGAAGGCTGGGTAGGAAAAGTCTTAAGACTGCTGTAGAGTTCTAAGAACATTTCAGTAGGACCAATGGTGAGTCCTTGAGCCAAAGTTGCCTATCAGAGGAGTCCTGTTAGATCAGCCTTGGTAAGCAAGAGTCATTGCTGTTGGGCCTTCGTTAGTTATGTAATCACTCTGCTTGTGTGTCTGTCATGCCAGTTGTGTGGTAGCCATTAATGAAGGCCATTTCATCTGGCTGAGTCATTTTGTCGTGTTGGCGGTTTAGTGCCTCTTCCATGGTAAATGCTCTCTGGTGGGTGTTACCATGTAGTACAGGAATCTTCACACTTTGTCCACTCCCACATGTCAGTCCACAGCCTTTACACCAGACCTTCTCGTCTGTGATCCTCCAGCCCTTTCCTTTCCAGGCTAACTAGATGGCCAGGCCATTGGCTACTGCCCAGGAATCTATATGTTAAGTAGTCTCATTTCAGGCCACTTCTTCCACATCAAGTCAAGTGCACTGCTTGTGATTCTATCCATTGGAAAAAATTTCCTTCTCCACTTCTGAATGTGGCTGTAGTGCAGATACCATCCATCTTCATTTTGCATCCACATACTGAGCTGACTCATCTGTAAACCAAGCTCAACCTGATCCCTTATTAAGCTGGTCATATAGGAACCCACAAATATTTGATAGGGACTGCTATTCTGCTTCTGTTAGGTTTTTAGAAGTGGCACTGATATTCTCCATCTTCCTTGATATGTATGGCAAAGAATATATATGTCTTATGCAGCTGTGGGGGCTGGTTAGGAAAATCTGAAATTTATAGGGTGGGCTGATAGGCTGGAAACTCTTGGGCAGGAGCTGACACTGCAGTCCACTACAGAATTTCTTCAGGGAAATCTCAGTTGTGATCTTAAGGCCTTCAACTGATTGAATGAGGCCCATCCAAATTTTTGAAGATAATCGCGTTTACTTAAAATCAATTGATTGTTAACCACATCTACAGTATACCTTTACAACAACACCTGAGTTAGTATTTGATTGACTAATGGGGTGCTATAGCCTAAGCCAAGTTGATCCAGAAGGGTAACCATTTTATTGTTGATGATGGTAGGGGAGAGGGCAGTTTCAGAGGTTTCCACTTGGCTTTCCTCGTTGTGACAGCTCACCCTACAGGCCAAGGACCCACATTGGAGCTACTCCCAGCCACCAACTCAATTCCAGTTACACACTTGAGGATTGGGAAACGACCACTGGGTAGGTCTGTAGGCCCACTGTGAGTCCTGTTTTAGTGAGGACTTCAGTTATTACTTGGACCTTGAAGGCCCCAGTTTAACAGAGGCCCTGATGATGCTTTGAGTCTCTGGGTATCAATGTCAACTTTGATCTTGAGTCCAGTATTCCTCAAATATCTGGGTCTGGGTGTTCTTTCCCCAGTGTACATATAGCCAAGTGCGTGGCTACAGGCCCCTTTAGGAAAATTACTGGGGGAATCATCACCTACTCGCCTTTGACCTTCCTGGGGATCCAGCTACCTTTTCCAGATATGAAAATAGACTGAAGTCTGGAAACTGAGCAAGGAATTAGGACTTTTTTTATTAGGGAAACCTCCCCTAACCCCCTGCACCTCCATTCTTGTCTTTTTCAGCTTGTAGAGCTTGAGCAATACCCTTGCTGGCTGGCTGGCTGTATTGCTCCTAAGGACACTATGGCCCATTTTCCATCTCCACAACACCCTATGGGTAAAGCCCCCTTGACTGTCCTTCAGACCTCGTGGTTCATTTTGGTATTTGTGGCTTCCTGGCTTCTGGTGTCTATTACTATGGAACCCAAGCTCTGTGGTGGTCTCTTACTGCCATCCTTGGCCTGCAGAGGAGGCCACCTCTGAACTTAATGATGCTGGTGGCTCCATTCACCAGTGCCTTCCTGATGGCCTCAATGAATGGGATGTCCTCTGGGCCCCCCTTTGGAGCACTGCCCTCTGTTGGGGTTTTCAACCTCACTTTTTCTACTCCAGCATTCCTACTTCCCTCTGCTTTTTCATTCCTCTGCTGTTAGCCAGGACGGCTCAGGCATTTCACTTTGCTCAGTGGTGGTCATCACTTTCTCCAGGCCTCTAAGAGCCACCTTAGTAGAGACTTCTTACCTACTCTAGTCCTTGCCAGGTTGTTGAATCCACTATCCTGAGAAATTGCTCCCACATCTGAATTCTTGCTTTCCTGGCCTTTTTGATATAGCACCCTTAAAACCCAAGCCCAGTGCTTCCTTAGCTCCTGTCAGTACCTGCTAGCTACACATTGTGGCTCTTTGGCCTATGCTTCTCCCCGCCCCCCGCCCAGCTTTATTGAAATATAAAAGACAATTAGTTGCTCGTATTTACTTTGTACAATTTAATGAGTTATTTTTCAAATACAGTTGGCACACAATAATATACCAGTTTCAGTTGTATAGCATAGTGATCAGAGAGCCCCATAACTATCTTTCCCATGCTACACTCTACATCTCCACGTCTATTCTGCAACTATCCATTTGTGTCTCTTAATCTTTTTGGCTTTTGTTGCCATTCTCCCAAACCTGCTCCCGTCTAGTAGCTCTCAAAATAGTCTCTGTATGAGTTTATTTCTGTTTTTGTTGTTTATTTTGTTCTTTAGATTCCACCTGTACGTGAAATCATGTGATATTTGTTTTTCTTTAACCGACTCATTTCATTCAGCACAATACCCTCTAGATCCATCAGGCACTGTCTTTTTCCATCCTCTTCCTTTTAGTCTGTGGGTGTCTTTTAATCTGAAGCGACTCTCTTGTAGGCAGCACGTGTCGGGATCTTGTTTTTTCTTATCCATTCTGCCATCCTATCATTTGATTGGAGCATTTAATCTTTTTCATTTGAAGTAGTCATTATATAGATATGTAGTTATTGCCATTCTTTATTCATATTTTTGCTACATATTTTTTCTGCTTTCTAAAGAAGTTCCCTCCAACATTTCCTGTAATGGTGGCTTGGTGATGATGAACTCCTTTAGCTTTTTCTTGTCTGGGAAGATCTTTGTCCTTCGACTCTAAGTGATTGCTTTGCTGGATAAAGTAATCTTGGTTGTAACCTAGGGTTTTCATCATTTTGAATATTTCGTGACACATCCTTCTGTCCTGCAAAGATTCTTTGGGGAAATCAGCTTCCAGTCTTATGGGAGCTTCCTTGTAGGTATCTAATCAT